CCGGGCCCAGCCGCCTCAGCAGCCGTCAGGCAACATTTTTCTGCCCCTTCTCCACCACCCACCTCCCCCACCCCTGGTGCAACCCCCACCCACAGCCCCAGGGCTTGGGGCTCCCTCTGCTGGCTTCTGGAGATGGGGTCAGTCTGGGGACCTTGGGGGTAGGGAAATAGAGGGAGACGTTCCAAGAGACCCCTCAGAGAAGGCCAAGCATCCAAATGGTCGGTGATCTCTTTGGTCTCAGTAATCTACCCAGCAGTGCCTGCTGGATAGAGCAGGGGTCCTAGAGGGTGCGGTTGGTCCATGAGAAGGGGAGGGTGGTGGAGGAGGAGACACGAGGATCCAGGCTGAGAAGTCAAAGCAGAGAGTTGGACCCAAGGGTGTTGTCAGGACTCCAGAAGTGTTGCCTGCACCCTACTGTTTGTCCTGCACTATACAGGCCCAAGAGATGATAAGGGTGTGAGTGGGAAGACAGAAAACAGTTGAAGGAAGCCTACTCTGTGGACAGGTGGTATATGTAACCTGGGAAATAGGCAGGAATTGTAATTTTCATTTTTCAGTTAGAGAAACTTGAGGCTTAGGAAGTTAAGTCTCATCATCCATCCAACAAATACTGTCACTTCATATGCTAGGGACTCACCCAACATCACAGAATGAGCAGGAGGCAGAGCCCAATCCAAGTCCAAATCCAGTGATCCCCAAAGCCCTGAGTGTACTCCTCTAATGACATCATGCTCACTATTGAGATTATTGTCTTTGATGAGTTTTCTGCTTAATTGGAGAGATAAGACATACAAACACAAAAAATTAATTATGCCACTAGCAGGATAACAAGCAGCCTCCAAATGAGTGACAACTGGTGATGCATGGGGGAAGGTCAGTGAGGGCTGGGGCTCAGGGAGGCTCCTTAGGGCAAGTGGGATCTGAGGTGAACTTTGAGACATGCTGGCTAGGATTTTCAGGACTTAGGGGTGCAGAGGTGGTGGTTCTGCATCCAGAAGTTTAGTGGTGTGGTCTGGGATAGATTCAAAGTCAGCCAACTGTTGCTAGGAGTAAGAGGCTGTGTGGAGGATAGTCTGGGAAGCCATCTGAGGTCCTGGGCTACCTCCTGTGCTCACTTCCCTCCAGTCCTGTTTGGTGTTTTAAATCTTCATCTACTCAGTCTAGGTAACATAGGGAGAAATTATCTCTATGAAAAATAAAAAAATTAGCAGGATGTGGTGGCACACGCCACCACAGGCTGAGGTGGAAAGATTGCCTGAGCCCAGGAGGTCAAGGCTACTGTGAGTCAGGATTGTACCACTGCACTCCAGCCTGGGCAACAGAGTGAGACTCCGATTCAAAATACTAATAATAATAACAATGATTCACCTACTTTTTCTGGCGATGAGGATCTCCACCAGTGGCCTAGGACTGTTAACTATCCTTCTCATATTGCTCATCTGCATAATGAGGGTGAGGTGGTTGGGGCTGGACTGGATGATCTCTGGCATTCTCTTTGGCCCTCTGAATATAGAGATGGTTAGGCCAGAACCCTGGAGCCTCCAGGGCTTAGGTCTACAGATGTTGCCAGTAGGAACTGGCAGTCTCTGTTGCCATCTCACTGGGCTATTGCTCCTACCTGCCATGGTTCTTGGAAAGGAGATTTCTGTGCAGGCCAAGGCAACATTAGCCTTGTCTCTTCTTATCTGGATACTGATGTCTTTTTTTTTTTTTTGAGTTGGAGTCTTGATCTGTTACCCAGGCTGAAGTGTAGCAGCAGGATCATGGCTCACCATAGCCTCAACCTCCTGGGCTCAAATGATTATTTTGCCTCAGCCTCCAGAGTAACTGGGACTATAGGTACACATCATCAAACTTGGCTAATATTTTATTATTATAATTTTTAGAGGTCTTGCTATGTTTGATTTTTTTGTTGCCCAGTTTGGTCTTGAACTCCTGGGCTCAGGCAATCCTCCTGCCTAGGCCTCCTAAAGTGCTAGGATTACAGATGTGAGCCACTGTACCCAGCCTGCGTACTGATTTCTCTTAGGGCTTGCACCATTCTTTTCTATGCCCAGGAATGGCTGTTTGACTAGGATCCCAGACTAGGATTGAATATTTCCTACTGCCACTTCACTTCAGACTCCCAAACAAGCAAATTACCCTAAAGGGGCACATCTTCTCTGGGCTGATCCCAGGCCAGCATTGAGCCGGAGGCCCAAAAGCAGAATTCATTCCCTAAGAAAGCAGACAGGAAGGAAGGAAGGTAAGGGGGAGAGGGAAGATGGGGAGATATTTCTTGATGTAGAGTCAAATATTAAAGTTAGAGGGGGTATGTGAACCTCTCATGCTAACGCCTCATTTTCTTGAAGTCCACAAAGGGAACTGACTTGCTCAGAGTGGCTCAGCCCACACAGAGCTGATAGAAAGCAGGCTTGGAAGCAAGGCTTGGTGTTCTTCCCAGTGCCCCCTGCCACACCCCTGTGGCGTTCCATTTCCTATGTATTTAAGATGAGAGCAAGGACAGGCGGGCAGGGAACAAGCTAGTCCCTTGGGATTCTAACTGCTACTACTGCCCATCCCTCCTCCTGACCAGCTTGTAAACAAAGCTAGTTCCCAGGCAGCCAGCCAGCCTGGGAGGCCAGACCCAGCCCAGAAACTGACTCAGGGGCAGCCCCTCAACCCTGCAAAGGGCCAGCCCCACCTCCCGAAGGGCCCTGCTCTTTACACTCCTCATGGCTCTTCTATCTCCAACCCCTGGGAAGCAGACAAGATCAGGAGGCTTTTGCCTTTCTCCCTTACTTGTCCTCACTCCCTCCTGCTCTCCTAGGGGAGGAGGCAGAGAGGAAAGGGATGGGGCAGAGTAACCTTGGGAAGATAAGGCCAGTCAACCTTGGGAAAGTAGGGAGTTAGGAGAGGGCAGGGTTGGGGGGGCGC